TGAAGAACACTGAATGCAATATAATCTCTTGCTTTTTTTTTTTGAGAATGGGTTTGTATCCTTTTTAATCTGATTTTAGAATAAACTAGTCCACGATCACTCAGTCCTACCGTTATCATTTCACTGTTGCTTCTGCAAATAAAGGTCTCTTTAAAACATACTACAAGCATTTCTCATTTCTTGAAGCGTACTGCCATCCTGTGGCCATATACATTTCATTTGTTTAAAATGACCCCTTTTTAAAATTCATCATTTCCCCCTCTGCAGTTAAATGGACTGTTTGATAATTGGATTATTTACGACGTTTAGTTTTCCTTCTCACATTCAGGGGGGGAAAAGTTCTCTAATGGTTGGTTTTGTTTTCTTGAAGTCTGAAGTAAAGCTCAGGATATATACCATTTATAGTTACATATTAATGAACAAGTTACTGATAACGTTCGTTGAATTTATTTAGCTTTGTGTTTTTAAGCCCCCTACAGAACTCAACTCATCCCCTTCCTATGTGAAAAAACGTGATAGGACAAAGGCCCACTTCTTTTCTCTTTTAAGCCAGTTTTACACGGATATAATTCCACTGATTTACAGGCAATATGAAACATCCACCTGGAAAGGTGTAATAACTACACAAAGTCCAAGGCAGTGGACAATCATGCCTTATATCATCACATACCTTTGGGCAACAACCTACCATTGGTATTTAGTAACAACTTGTTTCCCTAATGTTATGTATCCATTCAAATAAAGCCCAAGTTGGCACTGACAGAAGGTTATCATGCAAAGGCTGTTTAGTGAACTACATGAAGTGAATTGGCTGGTCAAAGTCCAGTTCCTAGGTGTCCATATCACAAATCACATCACCATGATTGGAAAGCTTTTTGGAAGTCTCAATATGGTGGACAAGGATTAAATGGACCAGGGTGAATTAACTCCCTTCTCTCAAGGTATGTCTACACAGCACACTCCTTACGGTGGCATGTAGAGTACATACACTGCATGCACCCTAGCCTGGGTATAAAACAGCAGCATAGACAGTGAGGGGCTGCTTAGGCAAGTCAAAACACACTCGAACCCTGTGGGTATGCACCCTACAGCTACTCCATTTGCCCAAACAGTGCATTTCCTCCCCTATAAGAGGTGATCCTTCTAGAATAAAATTTAGGAGCACTGGCCAGGCAATGTGGAGAAACTTGAGTTGCTGCTGCCTTTATTGTACGTGTTCTGTGGCTTGAGAACCTCAGCCTTTAGGTGTGTCTGTCCAGCACTTTCCATAGTTACTAAATAAACAGCAAAACAAAACAAAACAAAAAAAGTAAAAATTGAAAATTCACTTTAGGACATGAAGGTATGAACTTTCCAGCTACTAGAAATAATGGCTGACTGCACCACAGGCAGACACATGTCATCTATACAACCTCAAAAAGAAGAACAGGAGGACTTGTGGCACCTTAGAGACTACAAGTCCTCCTGTTCTTCTTTTTGCGGATACAGACTAACACGGCTGCTACTCTGAAACCTATACAACCTCAGTGTCGTGGCCCTAAGTGACTTAGGAGACTATGTTCAACTGAATATGAAGAAGATTGATGCTTCTAAGTCATTTTGGCGCTTTTGAATATTTTACCCATTATTCCTTACATTTAGCACAGCAGAAAAACAGATACATTGTAAAGATGTGAGCATTAGCAATCCAATCCATCTTTATTTCAACAGCACTTTCTATTGGGAAAAACAAAAAGAATTGCTAATTGTTTTACAAATACAGCAAAATGATAAAAGAAAAATAAACCTATGTACAAAATTAGACAACATAAATGCCCATGATAACATATGACTAATATCAGGATGTGCATTAAAAGAACGCTAACAATGTTTAAATAAAAATTATTCCTGCTACGAAAGAATATAGCACATATCATATAGATAAACTAAATGCAACTGTACAATATATTTTAAATAAGGATTTCTCATGATAATGTGAGCAAAATATGAGTTATTAGAACTCCAATACAAAAATACATCCTTATAATACTACTAAAGCAATTTTATCTTCAGAGTTTTGTATACACTTTTACTAATTGATCCTCACAACATCCCTGTGAGGTAGATAAGTATTATGATACCCGTTTTATAGACGGGGAACTAAGTTAATTGCCCAAGGTCACCCAGCATTATCAGTATCAGACCTGGAACAAGAATCCACAACTACCTGGCTTCCTGTTAAACTGTCATCTGAGGTCATGTATTACTTCTCTATTATGTACAGTTTGGGTTGAGTTTATTATTTATAGTAAAATACCAACAAAAGCCACAGAGCACAAATGTAACATTTTAGTCCTAAAGTTTTAAGCTGATATCAATTGTCTTTCCTTGTATTTTGATATATTTGATCTTCCATATAATTTTCTCTGTTTTTGAGCTCTATTAGGCACCAGATATGTAGTGGACTTAATGGGGCAAATTCTGCTCTCACTTATATCTGTGTAAATTCAGAGTAACCATCAATAGGGTTACTGCAGTGTAGATGAGAAAAATTCTGCACACATTTCTCCTAGATTTTAATAAAGCCTTCGATAGAAAAGTTAGAGACAAACCTATTAGAAAATCAAACCCCATTAGAAAAGTCAGAACAATGTTACTTGGCTATTATGATAGAATACAAAACTGTTTGAACGGTTGTAGCTCAACAGAGGAATTATTCATGAAAGAGAATCAAACCGGAAAGAGGCATCAAGTCTAACAAAGGGTCCTAACCTGGCAAACACAGTATTTTCATACATCAGAAGAAAGAGCAAACAGTACATTAATAATATAGATGACACCATGTTGGAGTAATTCTGAACACAGTGAAAGGCAGAAGTGACCTAAATGACACGAGTTTAGAGACTAGGCAAAATGAGGCCACTCTACAATTTGGGGCACTTCATCCCAAAGAATAATATTGTTAAATTCTAGGGAGCATGAAGGTCAAAATTAGCATGTATAAGTTTGTGGATAAGGATAAAGGAATTTAACCTGTACAGTTTGGAGAAAATTTGGTTCTGGGAATAAGACAAATGTCCTACTTCCCCAAAAGGCAGGAGAATGGAGGATCTCCCTAAGTCTATTATCTATGATCTTTTGGAGAAAGAAAAGATTCAATATTATGTTGAAGTTTTTCAATCCTTTTCGGCCAATTGTGTTTTTCTGAAGCTATTATATCTGCTACTGGCAGCGGATACGTATTGAATGTGCCAGTGTGAGAGAGTTAACTAGATTTATTATATTTCAAAATGGATTTGAATGTGAAAAAAGTGAAACAATGCTACATCAGATTTCTCATATTAACCAAATAAGAGTGCAAACACTACCCAATGCTTATATAAAAGTAAAGTTAGTCTATAGAATAGGTTTACTTTAAGATGATAAAAAGCAACAAAATAATACTATGTTGGCAAGATATAAGGCAAGCATTACATTTTATTCACATAATGAATGTGTAGTGCAGGTTATTACTCATTCACATTGATCTGATGCGAAGGGCATGATCCTGATCTAAAGGTCACTGAAGTCAATGGAAAGGCTCCTACTACGTACATTGATTTAATGGGTTTTGGATCAGACCCTAAGAGTGTAAGCAACGGGATTTGATGTCAGTAGATATGAAGTCAGAGGTAATGGGGTATCATGTGGTGATAAAGAAAGTACCACAGTAAAACAGATATGTAGGATAAATGGGATAAAGACACCACATCAACACAAGCTCTGGGTAATTATTATTCTCAGCCTCATCTTTGTTATAAATACAGAGACACTTTCTTATTAAATGGAACAAACGTCTGCTCTGTCACTGCAATTCAATCGACTGATTTAAGTCAGTAATAAGCTCATTTACTATACAGTTGTACAGCACCCAGCATAATGGGGCATCAGTCTCTAGATGCTACTGCAATATAAATGTTAAATAAATACAGTACAACAATAGCTATAGGATTGCATCAGTGTAACAGAGCAGAATTTGGCCCAGTCAGTGCCTTAAAACAATTCAGCAGATAATCATTCTATTTCAATATAAACTGAGTTACATTACTCCACATTTCAGTGCAAGATGGTTCCACTATATATGGCTTATTCAAGTGGACAGATTGACTGTATACCAGCTCCTGAAAGGTAATGCACCCTCTCCCTTCCCACTCAGCATAAGGATCGCAGCACCATGCAGGATATCAAGGTCTAAGTGGGATTCACAGGCTCAAGGGCAATATGCAAGAAAACAAGATCCACATCATTCCATGCAATACTAGATGTACAGAGAAAGAAGTAAAACCTATACACATATCGGGCTCATTCCTGCTCCCACTGTCAATTATAAGACTTGCATTGAAATAAATGGGAGCCTACACAGACAGAATTAAGCACATCAATCAATTTTACATTAATTATTGCCCAATGGTACACAATGTTTGGGAGCATAAAACTTTGCCTTATAGCATAGTTTTGAACATTTCAGAAAGGAAGATGATAGGAATTTTCTAATCTTAAGATAAATACATAACTGATATGTCTTATGTGCCATAAAAAGAAGAACAGGAGTACTTGTGGCACCTTAGAGACTAACAAATTTATCAGAGCATAAGCTTTCGTGGACTACAGCCCACTTCTTTGGATGCATATAGATATATGGATATATATAGATATATGGATATATATATCTATATGCATCCAAAGAAGTGGGCTGTAGTCCACGAAAGCTTATGCTCTGATAAATTTGTTAGTCTCTAAGGTGCCACAAGTACTCCTGTTCTTCTTTTTGCAGATACAGACTAACACGGCTGCTACTCTGAAACCTGTCCTTATGTGCCATGTGTCTTCAGATATACAGAGTATTTGCACAATACATTTCAATTAATACATTCTACAATGCAAGCAATTGTTCAAAAACCTGAATTTTGATTCTAAAAAGCTCAGATTAAATAGCCAATTAGATTAATCAATTCTTTCAATTTTAAATCAAATTTTTTTTCTTTGAAACCACAAACAGGATGAATATTTGCTCTCAGATCTGAGGATGTAGAACCACACATGGGCTCTCTTATTTCTTCTACAGAGAATAATTTTGCCAGATAGCAAACAAAAGTATTCTTAGTGACAAGATAATATCTGCATTTGGAGCTTACTCTTTTTGATTTATGGTGAGAGAAAATGAGCATGATAGAAATAAGAAAGCACTGTTAGTGAACTGGACATGGTATTGTATTGCCTCATTACTATCGCAAAAAAGATAGATTAGAGAGTATTGGTGCATAAGCCTGTAAATTCGCTGTGACAAAAAATGAACACACCTAAAGAAATGCCTTTTAAACATGTGTTAGAACACGTGTTCAATAAAACAGGTTGTTTTAACAAAGAATATAACTAGAAATGCTCACATTTATGCAAATTCCATAAAGATATATTCATTTGGTGCTCATGCTGTTACAAATATAGACTGAAAGGAACCTATCCACCTTTGCAAACCACATTTAAACTTACAAGTGCATGCATTATAAATGTTTATGCAACCTGCAAAGGTAACTTGATTAGAGTTACACCTGCCAATTTGCATTAAAAAGGTACATAACGGTTAACCACGTGCCATATTATACTAACGTGTAAATATTTTTATGTTGAGTGGATCTCAAGCTAAGTTTATTATATAATTTAGGGCCTCTATTTAGTGATGAATGTTGAATTTCCTTTCCCCCCCGTATCTTTTATTAAAGCAAATGGCCAACTTCCAAGCAAGTTTGTGAAGTGACAGCGGTGTCCCTCATCACTATGCTATAGATCAGGGGTTCTCAAACTGGGGGTCGGGAACCCTGAGGGAGTTGCAGGGTTATTACATGGGTGGGTCACAAGCTGTCAGCCTCCACCCCAAACCCTGCTTTCCCTCCAGCATTTATAATGGTGTTAAATATATAAAAACGAGTTTTTAATTTAGTAAGGGGGGGGGGGGGGTTGCACTCAGAGGCTTGCTATGTGAAAGGGGTCACCAGTACCAAAGTTTGAGAACCACTGCTATAGATCATGTGTCTACTGATCAGTCGGGGAGGTGCTAGCCCAGAAGAGGGCAGAGAACAAGGGAAAAAGCAAAGATTAGTTAAAATACATAAGTTACATATTCTGAAGCAGCATAGGACTGGAGGAACATTATGATGAGAAGAGACTAACAAATATGGTCATCTGGATACTAAAGTCCACATATGGCACAAAGAGAAGGAGTTTAAAACTGAGATACAGCAAATAAACTCAAGAATTTAGGTGATGGAGCAGGAGCCATAATGGAGGCACTGTGGTACCAAACTGATTATTTTGGATAAGGAGCGTTGACCTGAAATATACGTACCAAACAGTAGAATCAGGATTTTGATCAGCACGATCCAACGGGAATTTAAAGACAGCATACAAATGAACTGAATTTTAGGTATTGGTATTTGGTATCATATAAACAATTTAGGCTAAACTAACCAGCATCATATTCCATGATGAATCCTGGAATCAGGCAGTTAAGTCTGTATAGCAATGTAGGCTAACTGGAATTGTATGCAGAGGATGTGACAATAAAGTTTACCAGGACACTATCAGGCTGTTAAAGCTCAAAACTGACCTTCTTTGAACATCCACCTTATAGCTACATATTTACTCCAACTCAGATAAGTCATTGACTTCTGGCATTGCTATATCCTCTTTGCTGACTTCTGCTTGTGTGACTCTTTTCTAGTGCTGCTGTCCTGGTTCTGTGGACCCCTGCCTTTGGTGGAAGCTGCCTCTTGAAAGATAAGCAAGGCAGAAGTTTGATCCTGGAGTTAATCAATTATATACTGATATCACATACTGAATAGCTGAACAAGCTCAAGGTTGGAGTTTCTAGAAGCATAGCGCACAGATTGACCAAAACAAACAGGAAATTATAAAGAACTAAATTGTTATTTATCATTTCGCTTCAAAACAGGACAGAGTAAGGCGACTGGATCAGAAATTTAAAAAAACAGACAAATTATATGCTAACAATGAGAGTCCTCACAAATAAAGACACTCCCACACTTGCATAATATTGATGGATAAGGCCAGGAAGGGGAAATAGTTTCCAAAGTTTCCAAATATTATTTTTGTTTTTCAAGTCAGATATTTTTCTCAATCTCAACTGCTTTCTTAGTACTCAGCACACATTACAAAAAACAAAAACAAAAACAAAAAAGAGTCAGACAAACATGAACTGCAGTGTACATCTATTGAATCCTACAGTATTTAAAGAGCTCAAAAAATGACTCTATCTTCCTGTCTTCTTTCCCACCAAAGCGTGCTGTTTAAGGTTCCAAAACTGTAATCTTCCTCTTCTTGTTCTTTAGCAAGCTCCACAAAAACCTAAAATGGATGAAAATGGCATCAACAGTGTATTCCGTGTAACAGCATTCAGACTGCAAGGATCGGCGTGCCTACCAATCAAAGAAAATTCATGGAAACGAATCACAAAAGTGGTACCTATTGCACCAGTATCTGAATAGGTATACTGACCCTTCAGAATGGAGAGTTAAGATCTCTTACTTACGCTCCTACTTTGAAAGTCACTGGGATTTATGTTCTTAAGTGCTTCTGTCAATTTTGGAAATGGCACGTCAGCTCTTAGGCACTTTTGAAAATTTTACCCTATAAAACTATAATTCGCAGACTTTTTTTTTTAAACAATTATGAAATAAAATTTGCTTCCTATACCTGTTCCAGGGTTGCTTGAGAAAAGTTGTACTCCTCGATATTAAAGGCATGTTTTGCTGTTAAAAGGATTAGAAAGAATGCACATTTAAGAACAATGAATCATCAAATGCCTCAAAATGACTTTATTTAAATCCATATTTTTAAATGATTCGAATAACTACTGTTAAATTCACTAAAAATACAGAGGAGTTTTACAATTAGATGGCCCAGCTCAATGCAATGCCATGTGAGAGCAACTAGTGCAGGTCTTTGGTTGCAGTCTCCCTCTCTCCAGAGTGGCAGGGAATGGGAATAAAGATTGGAAGGCGGCATCCACACAGTCATAGAAATTAGAGGTGGAAAAGAATCACAGTGTCATCCATCCAGCAGCACCAAAAAACCCTCTTAAGGCTATGTCTTGTGTAAAGGCCTGTAGCTGCATCTTTACAGAACTGTTTTAACACTAAACTTTGGAATATATTTATCAACATTCAACCCGATGGTCCTCAGTCCTTATGGCCTATTTACTTTGCAAGCCTTAAAGGCATATGGGTACCCCCATACCCAGTCACACTCCTCTCCCAAGACCTTCCTCTCATGTATAGAGTCAGGCTCGCCCTCTGAAGGTGTCTTGGGGCTGCATGAGGAGCAGCAAGGTCCTATTCCACAAGTAAAAGCTGTTATGGTTTTAGCCTCAACTCCCAAGCCCTAGCTCTGTGATAGGCTACAACCACCATAAACTTTCTCCATTCCCACTGAGAAACCCAGTGACCCCTCCTAGCCATATCCTGATAGCCCTGCCAAAAAGGGATAAGTTTACCTCCTCAGCTCCGGGCATTTTGAACTGATATGCTAATACAAGGTAGTTCTGAGACTCCTAGGGATGATGTTTAAATTATCTGTACAGTGCCAGGGCTGTGAGAGCGGATATTCAGACAAATACAAAAAGGGTTTCTTTCAGAAGGAATATACAATCGGAGTTCAATATTGCAATGACTCACAAAAGTGTGTGCATTTGGTGGTGGGTACATGGGAAAGACAAGGTTACAGTGATACAAAACATGCTTTTGGGGTCTGATCAACACCACTGACGTCACATATTCAGAGATGTTAAGGTGAGAAGGGACCATTATGTTAATCTATTCTGAACGGCATAACACAGGCTATAAAACGCCATCTGGCCATTGATTTACCATAGCATCTCTTTAAGAAATGCATCCAATTTTGATTTCAAAGATTAAACAATGAAAAAATCTACCACATCTCTTGGCAATCTGTTCCAGTGGATAATTACCCTTGCTGTTCAACGTTTGCACCTTATATCCAGTTTGATTTTTTCTAGTGTCAACTTCCAGTCATTGAAGCTTGTTGTGTCCTTTGTCTGCTAGATTAAAGAACTCTCTAGAATTAAATATATTCATCCCCTGTAGCTATTTATAGACTGAGACGGGAACTGAACCAGTCCTTGTTGCATTCACATCTGTTTACTTCTTTTTACCTTGAATTGTGTACATAGGTTAAGAGTACAGCAGGGTTATAGAAGTTAATGTGTTATGAGGAAAGAAAGTTAAAAGGGCAGGAGTCATGGAGTGGAGGTTAGCATTAAAAAGCTAACCAAACCAAGTGAATTTTGAGGAAAGATTTGAGTAAGAGTAACGTTACATGGTACACAGGATCAGGGAAAATATTACAGGCTGCATGGTAGGCAAAATGATTACTATTTACCTTGCTTGCTTGGCAAATACTTGGTCTTACCTTCTTCCAGTTTAGAAAAAGACTGAGAGAGCGACTGTACATCTTCCTTAGGAATTTTATATGCCAAAATGGAGGAAAAACTGAAAAAAACAAAAAAAACAAAATACAGTGTGATATTTTCCCAGGCCAAAATTGCTGAAAGCAAAAGGAAAGAAAAAAGTTTCACATGACTGAGCATAAATTCGTTTTCTAAAGGAGTAGGCAACGCACTGTAAGCTAATCCTATCGTGACACAGGGACATAGGAATTACCATTTTGGATCAGATTATTTGGTCCACTAACCTGACAGAGACCAGAACCAGATACACAAGTGTTCTCCTACTGGTTTTTGAACGTTATGATTCCTGAGGTCAGATTTGTGTCCGTTTATTCTTTTGCATAGAGACTGTCCGGTTTGACCATCATAGGACCTAATCACATCAGCCACGCCGTCAGGGGCTCGTTCACCTGCACATCTACCAATGTGATATATGCCATCATGTGCCAGCAATGCCCCTCTGCCATGTACATTGGCCAAACCAGACAGTCTCTACGCAAAAGAATAAACGGACAAAATTCTGCCATCAGGAATCATAACATTCAAAAACCAGTAGGAGAACACTTTAACCTCTCTAATCACTCAGTGACAGACGTTAAGGTGGCAATTTTGCAACAGAAAAGCTTCAAAAACAGACTCCAACGAGAAGCTGCTGAACTTGAATTAATATGCAAACTGGATACCATTAACTTAGGTTTGAACAGAGACTGGGAATGGCTCGGTCATTACACTAATTGAATCTATTTCCCCATGTTAAAGTATCCTCACACCCTCGTGTCAACTCTTCGAAATAGGCCATCTTGATTATCACTTCAAAAGTTTTTCTCCTCTGCTGATAGTAGCTTCTCTTAATTAATTAGCCTCTCACAGTTGGTATGGGTACTTCCACCTTTTCATGTTCTCTGTATGTATAAATATCTTCTTACTGTATGTTCCATTCTATGCATCCGATGAAGTGGGTTGTAGCCCACGAAAGCTTATGCTCAAATAAATTTGTTAGTCTCTAAGGTGCCACAAGTACTCCTGTTCTCTTTGGTGGAGAATTCAAAAATCTCCCAACCACCTGGTTTAGTCCATTTAAAAAGGGAAACTCCAAGGTCACATCCTAAGAATTAAGAGGCTTACAGAGTCACTTGGCAAGTGTTTGTTACATCCCAAATTTCTTGGACTGGGGCAGGGGTAAAGATCCAGAATAGAAAATCTGTCACCATATGATCTCCTTTCTGAGGTTGACCTCTCCACCAAAACTGCCCCACCTGAAAAAAATTCTTTGGGAATTTCTATGATGGCCTTTTCCTGGGTCCTTGTGAACAGTAAACAAAGTAGAATAAGATATTACTGTTAAGAGTTTGCATTTATCCACTGACAGAAATTCAAGTAATTTAGTGTTCAGTAGATTTATGGAAGAACTCTTGACGACGGGACAAAAGGGATGTGGGCCAAACGCTGAGGCCTCCTAGAAGAGTCTGAGGTACCTTCGAAGGTATGCATCCGAAGAAGTGGGCTGTAGTCCACGAAAGCTTATGCTCTAATAAATTTGTTAGTCTCTAAGGTGCCACAAGTACTCCTGTTCTTTTTGAGGTACCTTCAGCATTTGCAGGACTATAGGTACCATCCAAATTTCTTGGAGTGGGAAAGAGATCACTCTCAGCAAGGAAATTACCAGTCACAACTGTTACACAAGCATAATTTTGGTCTTGCTATCAATAAAGGTATTTTTCTTTGCTAGCTTTCACGACATCTTCTCTTTCTTAAGCTTATTTTTATAGATATTTTATTTAAGATGTGGATAACATATCATCACTAATTACTTACTCATAACACACTGACAAAAATGAAGCATGCATGCATTGTAAGGACTGGTCCTCTATTTAATAACTTTTACCTTTCCTGATGAGATGCATTTGGGAAGATGTGCAAAATATGCCTGTGAAGACACTCCACCTGTTGTACGCCTGCTGTTTCTTTTAATTTCATTTCCAAGAAATAGCCTCTGCCAAATTTACTCTTTAGATGCTGAACTGAACCAATACACCTACAGATTGTTGAGACAAATGTAGTATGTCATGTAAAAAAAAAAAAGCAGAGCTGTTTTCAATAGTTTCTTTTTATGAATTAGATTATTTTGAGAGGCTTGAGATGAAAACAAATGTGGCTGTACTTTTTTTAATGCTATAAATGTGTTCAAGCTGAGACACACCATTTTTTCTTTTACACAAAAGTTCCAAATATGCATGGGCTACTAAAGTCTACAATACCTTAACTGTCCAGATACCAGGATTGCAACTCGATCACACACAGCTTCAGCCTCTTCCATATAATGAGTGGTCAGAATAGCTGCTCTCTCTTTGCTTTTAAATGCTGCTCGAATTGCCCTCCTGAAAATTAATGAATAATAATAACTACAGCTACAAATTACCTTTAACATGACATGTCATATGTTGGGAAAATAATACTTTAGTTATAATTAACACAAATCCTCAGCCACATCATCAGCTTTTTCCATTCTAGGGCAAAGAAAAGCAAATGTATCTATTTCTTTTCAGTTATTCTCAATCAAAACATATTAATGTCAGTATTTTGCAGGGATTTGGATGCCCACTAGTCTCTTAATCCCAGCAGCCTTATTATTAAAAGAAAACGCTAATTTAAAATGAAAAGTGAATACTGTGTAGGCACACAGAAGCAGTTACTGATCCTGTATTGAATCTTGCCTATGCTGGGCCATGGGAGGAAATTTCACAATTTGGGGGGAAAGGAGGAAACATTTCTTTGGTGGGTTATTTCTCTTTAAAATGATGAAAGAAGCTGCTCAGAAGTTTGGATTGTCACAGTAAGTTCTAGGAGAGATGGGTTGGTAGGATAAAGAGCAGTTGCAATGATCAAATGTGAACAATAAATTCTTTTATCACGTGGTTCTGCAATTTGTCAGCTGACTCTGGAATTCATCCCATGGATATTACTATGACAAGCATGGTATATCCTGTACCAAACACACAAAATGGTTTGCTACTTGGCTTCCAGAGGCACTGCCTCTTTCTCCATCCTTTGTTACCTCACTGGTGACAAGCAGAGGAGCTCAAACTGGAGCTCCTTTGGTTTAACCTCATAGCTGCGCATTACCCAAGAGAGTCACACAACTCTGAAACGAACTCTCCTTCCCATCACATTACAAAACCTACCTAGTTTCTTAGACATCTGGGGAGGGACAGTTGCAGGAAAAGGATGAATTTGAGGAGCTCGGTTTCTTATTCATCAATGGGGTGATATTATGGAGGAGTCTATTCTTTTTGTCCATTGTATTCTAATTATGATGAATTTTAAATTGCTGTGAAAGCACTGAGTTGCGAATGTATGCTTTTGATTGTTATAAATCAAATGAAAGATTTATCTTCAAAGGGAAATAAACTATTAATCTGCAAATGATTTGAAGACAATATGCAGATGAAAGCAACCTATACAAAGCTAGATTCTCAGCAACGCACAGAGGTAGCTGTCCTTCATGCTAACAACAGTTACGCACATGGATGAAAAGAAGAAAAAATACTTATGATTTGCCTATACTAATCTAGGACATATTACCACTTTGAGCTTTGGAGTAAGAGTATTATTACCATATTATCCTACAATGTAGTCTCTGTAAATGTAGCATAATGTTACACTCACCACATGTGCTGTTTGGCTTTAGGATCCATACCGGTAGATGGTTCATCTAGCAACGTAATCTGGGGATTACCCAGCATACTTAGTGCAAAACATAACTGACAGGAAAGAAAGAAGGTTAAGTCTGATTATACAACAGGCCTCATGTTATGAAAATACTGAATTCAACTTTTTTAAAAACCGTCTTCATACCTTGCGCTTAATTCCGACCGCTAATTTCTTTGTGGTTTTCTGTAGATGGGCTTTCAGTTCAAGGGCCCTTGCAATGCTGCAAAACACCCAATGCACAATATCTGTCTCATCAATCACTGAGAACATTGTTTAAGAAAGCAGATTATTAACCCTCAAAATATGCTTTGTCATTCCTCTTAGTACAATTGTTAAATAACGGATTACTCTAATTACAAAAATTATTCTAGTAATGTTTTCTAAAAAATTCCGTATAAAAGTTTTTACATTACTACATATCTTATGCCTCTCACTTAGAAATCAATGAACATGCTGTATGTTTTCAAGGTGAAATAAAGATGTAAAAAAAAATCAAAGGCATTACATATTGTTGGTTTTTTCCCTTCCAAACCATGGTCACCTCTTGCTCAAACTGCTAAAAGCAGTCTACTATAGTCAGATAAAAATGGAGCACAAGAAACCTATGACATCTATTGCTAGACTATTAAACAGAACCCAGTTATAATATGAGTGCAAGCAAAAAATGCTGCAATTAGTTTTTACCGTTTTACGACTTCTTCCACATCAGTTTTACTCATTCCTTTGATAGATCCATATATTTCAAAATGCTCCTGCAATGTAATATCTGGCCAAAGTGGATTTATTTGAGGACAATATCCCACAAATTTAGCAGAACTGTCCTCACTATTCAATCCTAAAGAATAGTCTCCTATCAGCACCTGTGGAAAAGACAGTCCTTACTCAACAGTATTTTTACGGGTTTTGCAGGTCTTTATAAAGACCAAAAAATTATTTATAGATGCTGGTGACCAAAATGGTAAGAAAACAAAAACAAAAAATAGATAGCTCAATTCATTTTCTATTAGTGTTCAGCCATATACTGTACCTGGCCAGCAGTTGGTTCAACGTCTCCCACCAGCATATTAATCAGTGTGCTTTTCCCAGCTCCATTTGGTCCTAGCAATCCAAGTATTTCTCCTGAATAAAATAAATAAATAAATAAATAAATAAAAATGACATGTTACCCATGTGACTCAAGAACAAAAAGGAACTGTTTTTTTCCTGAAAAATATAGTAGTTCAATGGTAACTAATTTAATGCCAACCTTTTTTTACACAAAAAGAGACGTGTTTAGTTGCCACTTTCTTTATTTTTCTCCCAAGAAGAAAATCTTTCCTTTCATCATATTCTTTATGCAGACTGCTGACCAGAATTGCTGGTTTCTAAAAAACAGAAGATAATATATTAATTATTTTTTAAAATATAATGACAAAAACACTCTCGCCAGTGGACAAACTGAAAGTTTATCAGCATAAAATAAGGGTTTTTGACATTTACCAAGGTTAGATGGCTAGATTAGATAATCCTGTCTTCTTAGTAAATCGTTGCATTTCTGCTTCACCATGGCTACACTTCTTTCTTAGGGACAAGCAGGGGTTATCACCATTATCTCCACTCAGAGTCCCTGTTTTTCACGTCTAAGTCCTCACTGTCTCTGTACACTGCAAAACCATTGTAAGAGTCCGATTCTGCACCTGATCACTATGCAGACAACAACTACTGGGAAGCAGCAGCAGAATTATGCTCAAGATTGCTGTCAGAGTTGCTCATGTACAGTACACAGCACATCTCCTCCTCCTCAAGGCTTGATCTCAGTGGCACGATGCACCTAATTCCTACTAGCCTGAAGTGTGAGTACCCATTAGCTTGGAATCTAAAAGTACCAACCCAGCCAGACACAGAGCTGTTCTTAGGGCAATAATTCTAGGTTTTACCATGGGCAAGAGGTGGTAAGTGGAATAAATTAACACACACAAGGAAGACGCTGGAAACAAAAGAAAATAAGCACTGACATCGCGTGAAAAAAATAGAATCCTATTTGTTCATCTGAATTTTTTAATACAAAATAATTCAAATATAACTAATTCAGAAGACGAAACCAATATCTCATTCTAATATTTCCAATTAAGCATTAGTTTATTATTTCAGAGCTGGCATATGTTGATTTATTGACAGCAATTTTATCTGATCTCACCCTGTCCCCTGTGATTCAATCATAATTACACAATTACCTCATCACAGCTCTGGCAGGTTGTCATTTCTTTGACCCACAATCTCTCTGCCTTTACATCTTCATCCTCATTCTCATTATGTGGATCATCTCGAAATTTCCATGTTTTGATCTTTGTAGAAGTTCTAAAGAGAGGAACAAATATTAATTTATGTTCAGTCTTTACACAAAGCTCCCAGGGATTTCACTGGAGAGCTGCCCGATTATGGACAGAAAGATCGAGTCCTTTGTGTTTGTTAGGCAATAAACTCATGCAATTAGCCATATGTGAAGGGGAGAAAAAAACATCAGTGGAAAACAAGTCTTTAAAAAAATTAAATTCAGTTGTCACTTAAAAAGAACTGTATCAAAGGGAATAAGCAAAAAACTGCACTAAAATAAGGCTACTGGTAGTTCACACCATAGAAGATCAGATCATTTAAATGTAAACAAAGCCCTTTCCTGTTGATTCTTAGCTACACAAACCAGTGAATATTAAAATTATTTCACAGCAATTACACTGGTCTTACTGTTATAAACAATGGGGTAAATCTCCAAAGCTCTTTATGATGAAACAGCTGTACAATTTCTATTAGCCTCTACGAACAGTGTGCAAATTTCACAAGCAATATTCAAAATGTTCCCATTACAGCTCCAGTCCTGTTAACACATGAACAGTTACAAAGGTTTTACTTCTGGGGGAATTCTGTGCCAAAAATTGATAAATTCTGCAACAGAAAATTAAAAATTCTGCACACAGTATTCTTAAATTCTGCAAAATTCTGCATATTTTATTTGTCAAAATAACACAATATAATCACACCAGTATGAACAGATTTTTTGGGGGGTGGAGAGAAACTGTTAGGGAGTTTCCCCCATGCAGACCCTGGCTGACCCCTAGCCTCTCCAATTCAATCAGGCACATGTGTCCCTCCACCTCCACTCAGACATCCATTTCCCTCATCCCCATGTGGCCCTGCACCTCCCTCCTTCTGTGGCCCTGTGCCTCCACTCCCATTCAGCCCCTGCCCCAGTCTGTCCTCCCCCACTAGCCCTTATCAGCCCAGTCTGTGACCCCCCCCCAGCAGCCCCACGCTGTCTGTCTCCCCATAGCCCCTGTCTCCTGACCTAGCCCTACAGCTGATGCTAAGAAGGCTCTGCAGGCTCTCTCTCTTCCTAGCTGGCTGCCAGCGGCTGCTGTGTTCTATCGTCACAGTGCCGTCTGGTGGGCATAATGTAGAATTGCAGCAACTTTTCAGCAGAACCTTTTTTCTGTGCAAAAAGATTAAAAATATGTATGCACTATGGCGCAAAATTTCCCCAAGTGTAAGGTTTGCAAGATCAGGGCCCTTGTTTGCAAAACAAATATAAGGAAGTACATCTTCACACAGAGCAGTGGAACTCATTGCCATGGAAATTTGTAAAGGCCAAAAGTATAATTAGGTTAAAAAAAGAATTAGATGATTTCACATTGAATAGGTCCATTGACAGCTATTAGCCAAGATAGTCCAGGATCCAATCCCTGTCCGTAAATTTCCAACTCCCAAAAGCTGGGACTGGACAACAGGGGATGGATCACTCAGAGTTGCCCTGTTTTGTTATTCCCTCTGAAGCATTGGGCACTGGCCACTGTGAGATGACAGGATACTGGGTTAGATGGACCATTGGTCTGACCAAGTATGGTCGTTCTTATGATTTTATGGCGTTAATGTGAGTTGCACAAACACATTTTATGAGGGAATGACCCTTACATTAGTCATTCTAGCAGAAACAAATTATCTAAATTATGTCAGATACATAGGTTTTGATATAAGGATGATGGCCAGTATAGAACAAGCAATGTCTGCACTGTTTTAAAACATCAGTATAATGCAATAGGATATATTACTCCAGTGACAAAGGGATTTTTGTTTTATCTTTGGTGTGCCTTCTGCTGCACATTAGCTACTCCCAGTTAGTGCTACCAATACTATCTTAAGATGGCTTTCTCAATACAGAATAATAAAAGATCCTATTAACTAACACAGACCTGAAAAATGGGTCCTCTCTTATCGATTTACCTCCATTTTTCACTTCAAGATATCGCAGGAGGAACAGCCATACTACACATTGCAAATAAGGCTAAAACAGACAGAAAAACAATTTCAGTTAATCAAAACATTTCTAGCTTCTTGAGGCCAAACGGTTGTCCAGGGGATGAATGCTATGAAATGTTGATTCCCTCCCAGCATGAAGGTGTTCATGACAGACTCCAAGGCAGTGAAATCGTGTCACTAATTAATTCCATTGGCAGTAAGAGGGGTATATTTCCAAAAATACAGCATGAGCATATGTGTTCTTATAATTAGAATATACTTCCAGTTATGTATAAAATATAAATGAGTCATTTAAGAGTGAAATATGATTTAAATCAGTACTTTTTAATTAATATTTCAGAAATGGTTTTCTGAAGTTTGGCCCACAAAACAGAACAGAGAGGAGAGGAAAATGTTATTTTGTGACAACTTTCTCTTTTAAAGGAGCCACTCAAATCTATCGTAAGCCAGACCCTTTATTACTACGTGAAGGCTGTAACTTGGCCTCAGATAAATGAGCCAGTATGTCTCAGTCCAGTTCCTAGCAGACAAGAGTCTATATCACAAAAACAACATCTCAGCTGGGCACTCATTGACAGACTCGAGAGGGAGGCTAATGACTGAACACACAAAGATTGAACACTTCCATGATCCCAACCAGCAGTCTTATCGTCCAAGGGTAGGGCTGAGCCACACTGTTGGGGCAGTAGGTGTTGAGCTGAGGGAGTGGGGCAGCTTACGCTGCTGTTGCCTATTCTGTAATCATTTTTTGGCTGCAGGGCAGTAGTTAATCCACTCTCTCTTATAAGCATTAAATAAAATTCTGAAACACCTTACAACAGGAATGTCTTTAGGAAGTGACTTTTCATTCAAAGTTAACATTTCTGACAAATAACTGGTGCTTACCGCGATAACTGCTACCAAGAGTTTGTCCCAGGGATCATGGTATTTTTCATTCTTTTGTAGGTGTTTCCGTGATACCTGACAATGTGACGAAAATTTACACGAAGAACTTTTCATCCAATGCTACGTTTTACAGCTAAATTTAATTGCAGATTATAATGAACTACTGAAGACAATTTATTTATGCACTTTAGGAGCCTGATTCAGGTTTGCACTGGCTTTACATCAGTGCAATTCCATTGACTTCTGTGGAATTTCTGCTTGTTTACATGGAGGTAGAGAGAGATCAGAATCAGTACCAATGTATTTTGTCAATTGCAGACTCCCAGTAATCAAAACAGCTCAACTCGACAGACAGAGGGACATGGAATTTGCCTTTATGTATTTAACAAATGCTGTGTTTCTTCCAGCTTCTGAAACTACAACATTTAGCTTACAACAAGGAGGTAATACAAGCAACTTTTTCAGCAGTTGATGCTATTTATAATCCATTAAATGACCATCAGGCATATTACAGATCAATGCAGAAGGCAAACTCCCCATTCACTTACATGTAGATCAACCATATTACTTTGCAACATATATATGTATTCTGCTAGCCCATGTACTAGTGCCCCTGAAGTGACTTTCAAAGTTCTAAAGTTAAATTCCTCATAAAAAGGAACCAACCAACATCCCAATACCCCAAAAGCTTACCTTTATAAAACTAATCAGGCATCCAATAAGAGGATAGATTGGAATGAAGGCACAGAAGACATAATGAAAAATGGTGGTTACCATGAAATATCTCATAAAGAATGCTACTTCAGTGACAACAGTAGAGATCAAAGCAGTCTAAAAAAAAAAAGAAAAAAAAATCACGTATTTTTATCCAAGCCTATCTCACAAACTGACATGGTCATAATATTTAATACAAGTTGTGACAAGTTAGAAAACTGTCTGTATTATTTCTTAGGAATGTTATGTATGACTCGGTTTCCATGTTCAATTTTATATTGCTGCCTGACTCAATGCAGTTAAAGCAGGCTCTAATGAGGGGTTGTTAAGGTACCTAGGATGGGTAAAATAATGACACAGATGAGACAGCTTCTCAGGTACCTACTGGGCCTTCAACTGAGGGAACGAATCTACCTGGCTGGCACCAACCAAATTAGCATGTTTTCATATCCGCCCTAGCCTTGAAATAGGAAAAGACACTGAGGGGTTAAAAAGGTGCCATGGCAGAAAGGGAGGGAAGAAGTGGTCAGCTCAGCTGGAAGCTAACAGGGACACAGTCAGCACACAGCAAGGCTGACATACAGACACACTGACTTGAGACCCAGGGTCTGGGAGAAAGGTATGTGTAACTTGGCGCCCAGAGAGAATGGGGGACACCAACGTTGTCATGTCTACCTAGGGGAATGCCAAATATGGGTAAGACAACATGCATATAGGTCTTTGTTATTTTTAAATCCTCTTCTCTCAGCTGTGTGTACCATCTGAGCATCTTTGTTTTGAAGAAACTGCTTCTGCAAACTATTACTGACAACTGGCTGCCAAAACAGAACTCTGGCTCAGTTGCACCTACTAGGTAACATGGTTGGCACCCAGAGAAGTGTAACCCAGAGACACGGTTCGAGAGTGGTTGGACTGCAGGATCCTACACCAAAGAGAAGTGGAGGGCCAGGCCTGCTACCAGAAAGGGGTGCACTCGAGGGACTGGTAGATGGTCTCTGAAAGAACAGCCTCCCCAGAGATTGTGACACAAGTAATCCCTTGTCTTATTCCACTCTGAGTAGAACTATTCAAAAGCATCTGTTGCTGTGGCAAGGAAGAGAAGTAAAGAAACATGTATATTGCCTCATATTTAAACCATTTGTCATTTACTTAATTTCTTTCCTTTTCAGTTGCAAACTAGAGAAATGTCAAATGGTTTAAATATGAGGGAATTATTTTCCAAAAATGATAACTGAAAAAAATGTTGATTTGGCTTTAGGGGAAAAAAATGTTTAAAGTTAACTAAAAACAAGAGGCTGACTTACCATTGAAAAAATAAACGACCAAAATTCTTTGGTATTTTGCACTTTTTTAAAGGTGAAAGAGAGCACGTAAGTGAACAGCACTACTGATGGTACATAGCCAATAAGGCAGAAGATCTGCAAGGGAAAAAAAGACATTCCTTAGAAAGATTCATCATATACTGTGCTGTCAGAATATTCATTATACCCAGGGGTACAAACCTGTTATTGACATTTATTTTGTAAATGCCTGAATACTTTGAGAGTACATTTTCATCTCCAGTTGATCCTGTTAGTTAAAAGCTAATTGAATTGTTCTGAGATGCTGTACTCAGCATTATATGGGCTATTAAAACTTTCTGATAAAAAATGCAAGCAGGGCAGCAAGTCCCATCTCTCAGTTAAATTTAAATCTTTTCTTTAAATCATTTCTCAAGTGGCACTATTGGGTCTCACATAAACACTAATGATATGCATATTTTGGTAAGTGTTGCAAGTCTCATCCTCAATTAATTTCACTGACTTGCAGAAATTAAAACAAGAGCAGGCAAGTTGGAGGGAGGGATGGAACCACAGTCAAACGATAGCATGCCAAGTATGAAAAGCTCAAAGGAAAACTCAAAGTTTCATAGTTCTCACCTAAGAGAAGAGGTCTGGCTCCAGGGTCCTGAAACATGGACCCTGGAAGGCCTGGGCTCCTCGGCCCCAGGGCGGAGGACCCTGGAAGGCTTCCCCAAAACAGGGGACTCTTGTAGCCTCAGCTGTCAAGGAGCCGCAAGTGTGGGAGTTGGGGCTCTCAGCTCCCTGTCAATCTGCCAGGCAGGCTGCTGTGAAGGTGGGAGCCTGGAAGTTTGGAATCCCCAGTAGCCTAGCAGGTGGGCGTGCTGGTAGGAAGCCAGTCAAGTTACTAACAGAAATCTGCCTGGCAGGCCAGGTTCTGTCAGAACTTTGTTAAAACTGAACAGCCTCCATGAAATATTTAGATTTCAGCGATCTGGCAAATTCTGGTGAAATAACGTTTGGGTGAAATTTTTCCGACCAGCAAACAAAAATGAACACGTCATATTTCTTATACACTTTGATAAAGGACTTTAATGAGAACAGAGAAGTAAATAAAACTAGACTTACAATAGCAAGGAACTTCCAAGTATCAAAATAAACACCATGATGAAATGCAAATAAGCTTCCTATCATCAGAACAAGGATAATGAAAAATAAAGGAAAGTCAATGACTGCTTGTCCACTCCAGTAAGCAGATGGATAAAGACCTGAGATCTTAAGTTGAGTGTAAGCTTTGATCTGTTAAAGGGAAAGAAAATTACAATAGGTGTCAAAACTGCCACAAATGGCAGTAATGTTAATTCTTATCAATGCTTAAACAACTTGGGCCTAATTCTGCTCTCAAATAGTCAGGCTTTACACTAGCATCATTCCAGTGTCTTCACTGGAGTTATTCCCAATTTGCAAGTTTTAGACACCAGGGGAGGAGGTCTGTGTATCCACATTTTTCCACAAAAGGACTTGTTAGTTTTGGGAAGAAGGGATAGAAGCAAAACACCCAGTAGGAATATGGACTGAGTGCCCTCTATGATCCTACTTTCTTTAGTTTCAGCTGTGCATCCAGCTGGTGGTAGGTTATGAAAAGACTAGTGCACCCAAGTCCATCTCCAAATCTACAGCCAGGTCTTCTATATGCAAACCCCCCTTGTTTCTGCTCACATTCATATAATTTGTCTCCGCAACTACTTGTTAAGTCTTATATAAAATTTAACTTATGTACATTTATTCTTGGGGTAGGTGCATCCAGTAAACACTTTGACACATTTAAATGTATTTGAAAATTGAGGAGTCCTGACACACCACTTGGTTCTGAAGTTGTTGTATACTCTACAAATCATCCCACCATTTCGGCCCAGACAACAGCCATTACCAAGTTATTACTGCATGGTTATATCATCCAGTAATGACCTTAGAAGAAGGTTTTATATTCGTTTACATACTGAAGATTTAAAATGACCCAAACTGCATAGTTCAAATTGAAGATTACCTTATGGTTTTCTGCATTTTCCATGGCAAAATATGGTGGCACCCCCGTTACAATGATTCCTAGTAACATTGCTTGAAAAAAAGCCTCCAGTCTGAAAACTGTGTCATCAATTTCCTGAAAAATAATTAGACTTCAACACTGGGAAATTAGAATATACTAGAGACAAAAAAACAACTCCTCAAACTTTCTTTTTAAAGTTTCTAAACATGATTTCCTGTGCTCTTGTACCTAGACTCCTAACAATGCCACTTTAGTTACAGCTTATTATAAAAGCATACAAAACTTTAAAATATGGCAATGCACAAGCCTGTTCTATCTGATAAGTGACGTTTATGATATGGATGGGACTGATTACCGTTTAGTTCCAAAAGAGGATAGTTCATAGCTGCTAAGACCTTTTGCACAGCAGCTGAGATAAAAACACTGCGATAAAGTTTTGTGTAGATTTTTGTGCAGTTTATAAAATCAATATATTCAGAAGAGAAAGAAAATGGATAGTTGACTAATGTAACCGTCTCTTTGCTATCCTTGATTACTGCAATCTTGCTCCTCTCAAGTCTATTGAGAATTCTGCTGTTAAGATCATCTTGTTGCGCTAATCACATTATCGCACATTTTGAGTCTCTCTTCTGGCTCTTTGTTCATCTCCCCATCAAATACAAGCTTCTTGAACGAAATCCAGGCCCCAGTTAAGTCAATGGCATAACTCCCGTTAAATTCAACAGGACTAGGATATCACCCTTTGTCTTTATCTTTAAGGCCCTTCAAAACGGAGACCCATCCTACCCAGGTGATCTAGTAACCCATCAAAACATTGACCTCCACCTTCGTTCTACCAACATTCCCAGCCTTCACTGCCCACCAGATCAACCCAATACAACTGTGTGCTTTCTCCCAGACTGTGCCTTATACGTGGGAAAAACTCTGATAAAATTCTACCTTATCCTGTTCCAAATCCCTCTTTACGACTCACCTCTAATCAAAGCTAGGTGGGTGACAAGCTCTGATCACTCCTCTTGCCCTCTCCCTTTCCCACTCCATTTCTTGCTATCCCCAACAACCAATTAAAAAGCCCCAACCTACAGTACATAATTAACAAAGTTGTGCTAGTTCATCACTATATTAATTTGCTTTTGTGTCATATTTCAACCCCCTACTCATGCTCTATTTGTGTCCTTAGATTTGGGAACATCTCTTGTCTATGTTTGTAGAGTGCCCTGGATTGGGGCCCTCGGGCATCACCATAATATAAATATTTACTATGTATAATTATATTAAAAAAATCTGAATATGATTTTTGTAATTCAAAGTTGTACTCCTTAATGTGCAATGTTTCATTACCTTAGAGGCTTTAAATGGTGAAAAAGATAGTAATAAAATAGGCTTGAATTAAATGGCCACACGTGGAACTTTACTGAATCATTTTGACTTATAGCTACATTTTTTCACATGCTCCAATACAGGGCTAACCTCAAGAAGTGCCTAAATATTCAAAGCCACAAAACTGCATGCACAACTGTGATTTTGCTATTGTTTCCTTTGTAATTATGCAATTTTAAGCCTATGATACCTCCTGATTTGAACTCCACCTACTTGAATGAATGGGTTACTCCAGATTTGAATATTCTCAGTCACATTTAAGTTGTGGAGAAACAGGTTGCTAATGATGTTCATCAAAACAGGCAAAGAGTGCACCATAGTACTGTTGAATACAGCTGTAAAAATGTAGCTCTACAAAAAAAATATTTTCAATGTTAAATTTGCAGCATGAAGGTTAGCACTGAGATATCGTTGGAAGATTTATTAAAAACCCTTTGTACAATATAGCACTCCCTAAAGCATAGTGTTACTAACACTTATCCTAATGCAGTAAAAATATTCACAATCTAAAGGACAGAAACTTAACCAAATTAATTCCAATGAAAATAACTTTATGAAAATGTGCCCTTTAGCTACAAGGTTGGTTGTTAGCTAACTTTAATACTTGTTTGGAGTACTGTTACAGCAGGGTTGGGTCCCATGCTCTTCGAGAGACAAGGTGGGGAGGTCATATCTTTTATTGGACCAGCTTCTGTTGGTGAGAGAGACAAGCTTTCGAGCTACACAGAGCTCTTCCTCACATAGCACTTGTGACATACAGGGGGCAGATAGTCAACTGTATAAACTGTTATAGTCCCACTGAAGTCAGAGCTATAACAATTACACTAGCTGAGGCTCCGCCCCTTCTGTAACAATCTGATGTTAACTTTACCAAGAAATGGGAACAAAAGGCAGGACTTTAGTGTTGCAAATTGTTTCCTCTTAGTAACATGAGGTACAATCCACATTTCTTCAAACCTTACCATGTTCTTCCACTTCAGATCACACGTTGGACTTGAAAGACAGTGTTTTGATTTACATATTAATACACGCACTCCAATACATGCACTTCTCTTTCCATACTAGAGCGTTGTTGCAAGAGCAGTTTGGGTGAGCTGCGAAGGTGAACTGAGAATGAGCTGACAGTCTAATATGAAAAGAGACCGTGTTGGGTGCACAGATTTAATATATTAAACACCCAGATGTTTTTGATGTTTAATTAAAAAGACCATTTAAGTAAAATATACTTAAAGAAATTCCCTCATTTACAGTATTAATCCATCGTTAGCATATGCTAAAATATCTTTTATTTTACTAAAATTTCCAGTCTATTAATAGACAAGCTATCTTCTGTCAGGCAAAAAAGCAGTATTTTCTTCATTGTGTTATTACCCCACATTTTTAAAAGTTCTAGAATTAACTTATTCTTAAAAAACCTTAAGTGTCTGGAGATGCTAGTGGAGGTTCAGGTGCTTAGCACAGACTATATGTAACTGTTGCTATCACCCTAATTTAAATTAGGGCTGTTGATTAATCGCAGTTAACTCACGCAAACTCAAAAAAATTAATTGCAATTAAAAAAATTAATCGCGATTAATTGCAGTTTTAATCACACTGTTAAATAAGAGAGTCCCAATTGAAATGCATTAAATATTTTGGATGTTTTTCAACATTTTCAAATATATTGACTTCAATTAGAACACAGAATGCAAAGTGTACAGTGCTCACTTTATATTATTATTTTTGATTAAAATATTTGCACTGTATTAAAAAAATAGTATTTTTCAATTCACCTCATACAAGTACCATAGTGCAATTTCTTTATCGTGAAAGTGCAACTTACAAATATAGATATTTTTGTTACGTAACTGAACTCAAAAACAAAACAATGTAAAACTTTAGAGCCTACAAGTCCACTCAGTCCTACTTCTCATTCAGCCAACCATTAAGACAAACAAGTTTGTTTACATTTATGGGGAATAATGCTGTTCCCTTCCTATTTACGTCACCTGAAAGTGAGAAAAGGCATTCACATGGCACTTTTGTAGCCAGTATTGCAACGTATTTACATGCCAAATATGCTAAACATTCGTAGGCCCTTTCATGCTTCAGCCACCATTCCAGAGGACATGCTTCCATGCCGATGACGCTCGTTAAAAAAATGATGCGTAGATTACATTTGTGACTGAACTCCTTGGGGAGAACTGTATGCCTCCTGCTCTGTTTTACCTGCATTCTGCCATATATTTCATGTTATAGCAGTCTCGAATGATGACCCAGCACATGTTTATTTTAAGAACACTTTCGCTGCAGATGACAAAATGCAAAGGAAGTACCACTGTGAGATTTCTAAGGATAGCTACAGCACTCGACCCAAGGTTTAAGAATCTGAAGTGCCTTCCAAAATCTGAGAGGGATGAGGTGTGAAGCATGCTTTCAGAAGTCTTAAAAGAGCAACACTCTGATGTGGAAACTACAGAACCCGAACCACCAAAAAGGAAAATCAACCTTCTGTTGGTGGCATCTGACTCAGGTGATGAAAATGAATATGCGTCAGTCTGCACTGCTTTGGACTGTTATCGAGCAGAACCCATCATCAGCATGGATGCACGTGCCCTGGAATGGTGGTTGAAGCATGAAGGGACATATGAATCTTTAGCACATCTGGCACGTAAATATCTTGTGACGCCAGCTATAACACTGCCATGAGAACACCTGTTCTCACATTCAGGTGACATTGTAAACAAGAAGTAGGCAGCATTATCTCCTGCAAATGTAAACAAACTTGTTTGCCTGAGCGATTGGCTGAACAAGAGGTAGAACTGAGTGGACTTGTAGGCTCTAAAATTTTACATTTTTTTTTTAATGCAGTTTATTTGTACCTAATTCTACATTTGTAAGTTATATTTTCATAATAAAGAGACTGCACTACAGTACTTGTATTAGGTGAACTGAAAAATACAATTTCTTTTGTTTTTTACAGCACAAATATTTGTAATCAGAAATAAATATAAAGTGAGCACTGTACATTTTGTATTGTGTTGTAACTGAAATCAATATATTTGAAAATGTAGAAAACATCCAAAAATATTTAAATAAATGGTATTTTATTATTGTTTAACACTGTGATTAATTTTTTAATCGCTTGACAGCCCTAATTTAAATATGAGCAATAGTATCGTCTCCTGAAAACATCTTTCAGAGAACAGAGCACCAAAAACTACTTCTGAGGTACCCAGAAAAGGCCAGCAGCACTGTAACACATGCCCATCTTACTTACCTTTTCTGAAAGCGACACATTTAAAGCTGCACTGTGGGGTGCAGCTGACACGTAATCACTGTCATTGAACATCTCAGTCAATATCTTCTGGCTTCTGAGAGCACTCATGAGATTATCAATATTTGATCCTAATATAAGACAATAAAGAAGCACACATGACTATTCATCACAAAAGTATTTTGGTTGCATGCAAACTTTACACTGAAATTATGAACGCATTTATATCAAGATAACAAGAGAGAGTAGTTTTCCAATATCATCTTCTTTATGAGAAGTTACTGTTGTTTCTCTCCATGTATAGACTCTTCAAATATTTTAAATAGTGCTTATGTTTTTATTTCAGCTCCCTCCTTAAGTATCCACACAAAAAACTTAGAAAAAGGGAAGTTTTGTTTGCTGTGTACATCAAATTAAAGTAAATTATAGTTCAGAAATGGTTATAAAAATATCAGGGGGCACACGGATAAGTTTGGATAATCAAGGTTTCAGTGAGAGAGACTTGTTTTAACTGGAGTTATTTATCATGGATAGGATATTACTCTCTTTTGGAAAACAGCGTTCAAACAATGGAGGTTATAAGGTATATGAATGGTGTGTGCCTAAGATATTGGACACAATGTGTTTTTCTTATTGTCATGACTAGAGGTTCGTGGACTTTACTCAGCAAAACCTTAAAAAAATAAGGGTGGATGAATATGCAATTTAACCACGCAACTTTTAAGGTGGACTTTTCAAACGTGCTCAGCGTTGGCCTAACTCTGCTCCCACTGACATCAGTGCTGGGAACTTCTGAAAGTCCCACCCTTAAATTGCATAGGTGGGTCATTTAAGAAAGCCATTTTCATTCCCATAGCAGCATATAGAGTCAGAATGCCATGCAATGGAAAGACCGAAGAATTTCTGGATCTTAATCATACAGCTCCTGACAGCAGTTTTTAATCAAGTTTGGATAGAGGTTCACTCAGCTTTAGTTATCACCCATGACTGATTAACACTGGAATGTTCCGATTTTAAAGCATATTAGATGCTTTTATGTTCTCTACGTTGCAAATTAAAAAAATTCAACCACCAGCCATTCATTGCAGTGATCATTCTTGAAGCTCCAGGCTACATTCCACCTCCTTTCACGTTCTGTATGGTTTATTGTCTCATACCAATGGGATGTTAAGTTTAAAAAGACATTATTAAAACTGGAGTATTAAATACACATTAGTAATCCAGTATAACTGTATTTGCTTTTTTTCTTCTCACCTGTGGAGTTCTGAAGGAGGAGACTTGTTTTGTACCTGTAGTAATTTTCTCCAGGCTTCAGCAAGTACAAATCTGGGGAAAGTTTGATGGGAACCACAGGATTTTTGAAGTAGTGATGTATAAGAAACATTAAAATCTGAACTACAAGAAAAACTAAAAAAAGCAACAACCTGAAAGAAATAAAGTGATTTAAGTAAAGTTCAGTGGAAACTGATCCTAATTATTTGCATATTATTTAAAACAAGTTGTCCCTCAGGTGTCAGTCTCAGGGCCACAATAGATAAAGACATTATCATTTTGGTTAATGGAAGTCTAATCATGAACACCCCGATTCAGTCCATAGACTACAGTTAACAAAAACTAAACACATAAAAGGCAAAGCTCCTTATTGACTTCTTACCGTAATTCAAAACTGCTCTGGAAAAAAAAGCAAGTGATGTTGGAGGCTACAGCAGGCAGCAACGTAACCAAAACAGTACAGACATCATATTGTCATCAGTATTATCTACAGAAGAGGCTCATGCCCAGGGAAGCAAATATTCATCAGCAGCATCAAGTATTAGGATAGCCATGCTTTTATATAGTTGTCCTGGGCCTCAGAAAGGAAAAGGTTGAGAACCCCTGTTCTACAGTGTCCCCACCATTGCAATCTTTTTGATTGTAATCACTCCCATGCCCTGATTTCACATCCTCCCCCGGCCATTTAACTTCATCTGTCTTAAAATCATTTCACTTTACACTTGCCATCTTTCAAAAAACTCTCATCCCTACTGCCTGCAGCTTTCTGATGTCTGTTTCATTCAATGCAGCTGCTCCCAGACCCTAGAGTAATACTGTTAGTACACTGGTGTGATAAATATTCACTTTGGTACCAAATGTAATGTTTTGATCAGTCCATATTCTCATCTGTTTCTGTGCAGCACTCATGGCTAAGCCACATCTTTTAGCCTAATCCTTGGTGGAGTTGTCGGCACTGATCAAGCTTCAGCAGCACATATAAGATTCCACTTGTTCTACATCTTCTGCATTTCAACATTTTTTCTATTGTCCCTTTTCCAAGATGCAACCACTAAGTCTTCTTTGTAAGTTCAAGCCTACTACACTGATTTTCCATGGTAGCCATTACAAACATTGACTATCTCCCCTTGTAAGTACTCTCACACTTATTATCAAACTGTCTGTACTCGGCTAGCTTGA